GCTTTTTCCACATCCTCTCTCAAAAAGTTGCCTGCCCATTCAGTAAGGAGCCCATTATTTCCCTGACCTTCTTATTGTTGCTAACATACCTGTAGAAACCTTTCTTGTTACTCTTAACATCTCTTGCTAGCTGCAACTCCAATTGTGATTTGGCCTTCCTGATTTCACTCCTGCATGCCTGAGCAATATCTTTATACTCCTCCCTGGTCATTTGTCCAAGCTTCCACTTCTTGTAAGCTTCTTTTTTGTGTTTAAGATCAGCAAGGATTTCACTGTTAATCCAAGCCATATTTACTATTCTTTCTACACTTTCTTTCTTTCAGAACCCCTCCTCCCCCAGAAGAGTAACCCGAATAAATGAGCATACCCCAAAGTAATGGGCAAATCTGGTAACACTTGGTCTGGTGGTCTATAGCAGACTCCCACCATGACATCACCCTTGTTGCTCACACTTCTAGACTCTCAGGTTTTTCTGCAGTTTCATACTGGAGCTCTGAGCAGTCATACTGCTTTCTTACATACAATGCAACTCCCCCCATCTTTTCTGCCCTGCCTGTCCCTCCTGAACAGTTTATGTCCATCCATGACAGTACTCCAGTCATGTGAGTTATCCCACCAAGTCTCTGTTATTCCAATCACATCATAATTCTGTGACTGTGCCAGGACTGCCAGTTCTCCTTGCTTGTTTCCCAGGTTTCTTGCATTTGTGTATAGGCATTTAAGATAACTTCCTGATCGACCCGCTTTCTCAGTATGAGACAGGAGTCCTCCCCTCTTGTGCTCTCCTGCTCGTGCTTCCTCCTGGTATCCCACTTCTCCACTTACCTCAGGGCTTTGGTCTCCTTCCATCGGTGAACCTAGTTTAAAGCCCTCCTCACTAAGTTAGCCAGCCTGCTTGTGACGATTCTCTTCCTTCTCTTTGTTAGGTGGAGCCCGTCTCTGCCTAGCAATCCTTCTTCTTGGAACACCAGCCCATGATCAAAGAATCCAAAGCCTTCTCTCCGACACCACCTGCGTAGCCATTCGTTGACTTCCACGATTTGACGGTCTCTACCTGGGCCTTTTCCTTCCACAGGGAGGATGGACGAGAACACCACTTGCACCTCAAACTCCTTTATCCTTCTTCCCAGAGCCACATAGTCTGCAGTGATCCGCTCAAGGTCATTCTTGGCAGTATCATTGGTGCCCACGTGGAGAAGCAGGAAGGGGTAGCGATCCAAGGGCTTGATGAGTCTCGGCAGTCTCTCTGTCACATCGTGAATCCTAGCTCCTAGCAAGCAGCACACTTCTCGGCTTTCCCGGTCGGGAGGGCAGATAGATGACTCAGTCCCCCTGAGGAGGGATTCCCCAACCACCACCACCACCCACCTCCTTCTCTTGGGAGTGGCAGTTGTGGAACCCCCATCCGTCGGACAGTGCATCTCATGCCTTCCAATCAGTGGAATCTCCTTCTGCTCTCCTCCCTGAAATGTACCGTCTAGTCCACTCTCCGCATTAGTACCCGTGGAGAGAACATGAAAACGGTTGCTCACCTGTATCTGCATTGCTGATACGTGGATGATCCTCTTTCTTCTTCTGGAGGTCACATGCTGCCAATTTTCATCACCGTCCTTGTGTCCCTGCTGCGCAGTCTGCTCTGATTCTTCAGAATGTTGTGCCCGCAGAAGCATATCCTGACGTCTGTCCAGAAAATCTTCATTTTCTCTTATGTAACACGGGGTTGATACTTGTTTCTCTAGTCCTTGAAACTTCTCTTCCAATATGGAGACCAGCTTGCACTTTGTACAGACAAAGTTGCTTCTGTCCCCCGCTTTAACCAGGGCTCATCTCCCAGCTCCACAGCAGGGAAATTAGAAATCTTGGGATGGGATCCCGATTCCCAGAGTCTGCGGCTCTGAGGCAGCCCTGCATTGCAGACTGCTCCAGACCGGGGACCCCAGAGCTTTGAGACTCTCAGGCCAGCTGGCTATTTGGGACACCAGCTAATGACATTGGGACACCAGTTCTAATGAATGTAAATACAGTTTGCTCCTGAAGTGTTTCCCATTCTGAGCTAGCTGTCAGGGGAGAACTCATTCAGACAGTGCTTACACCTGCAATTTCCTAGTATTTTTACAAAATAAAAAGGTGGGTTCAGCAGGAACTTTACAGAAATGAGCTTCATTGTCAGGACTTTGAAACTCTGCAGAAAACAGATTGACCTCCAGCACTGTAAATTCCCTAACCTGGTAATAACAACTGCAATACCTTGTGCTGCACACCTAGCAAGTGCACAGCAGGGAGTCCCTCTCCTCTGAACCTCAGCAGGAGGAGGGAGCTGCACCAGAACCAAGGGGTATCAGAGCAAAAGTCCCTTCTGTGCACCTTTCTGTGAAACTCTGCCTGCATCTCACCTGGAGCTGCACGTTTGCAGTGGGAATACAGTTTGGGTTTGTAACAGGGCGCTTGAAGGGCCGGGCTGCCTAGTGGTTGGTGCCCCTGACCTCCAGTCCCTTGTTTTCAAGGTCAATTTGCCTCAGTCTTTTAGGAAATGGGGTAGGGAAACCCAGACCCTCCCTCTCCACCAGGTCCCCGCCCAGGGTCCTGCCTGCATCAACCCTGGAAAAGGGTCTCCCAGCAGGGATCTAAATCCACTTCCCTGGGCTACTTCCTACCACTGTCCCTTTTGTTTGGGGCAAGGCCCCTCTAGTACTGTTCGCTGGGTGGCTTATACCCCATAGTGCCCTCTCGTCCCAGGCTCCTTCAGGTGGGGCAGCCGTAAGTTTGGTGAGACTGACCCCCACAATGTCTCTGGGCTACAGGGACCCAGTTACCTCAGTTGCCGGAGGCTCCTAGGTCTCCTTCACAGTCCCCCTTGGCTGGGGAGACAGTGCTTACTCCCTGGTGGCTGCCTCGGCTGGCAGGCTAGTGACCCTTCCCCTCAGGTAAGGAGGCGGATAGCTCCTGCCTCTTCGCCAGTCAGCCCTCAACTGAGCCAGGCTCTCTCCTTTTCTCCCCCCAGGCCTGGCATTGGCTGCATGTATAGCGGGGTGGGGCTAGCTGGGCCCAAAGGCTCCTTTAACCCCTGCTTTGCTGGCAGGGTAGTTCCACATGACTGTGCTGAAGGTTGGAGAGGAGGACGAGTCTTTCCATGATCCTTATAGTTATGTCCATTCTTGTCACTAATCCCCATCTTCCCTGGATAGAGGTGCAAGGCCAGCTCACAGGGCCAAACCCAGGGTTCCTTACTCAGGCAGGCAGCTATTAACTGTAATGTGAGTTTGGTTTGTACAGACTGAGTAGAAACAGAATAAAGGATTCAGGATTGGGCCCATTCCGAATTATTCCAGAAATAACCACTCAGCTGTCTACAAACTGCCCTGTGCACTAGATATCACTGAGAACAGGCATATACGGGAGCTGTGATGTTTCTGCACCAAGTGATTTTTGAGAGATGCTGTCCTGACAGAATACTAGAAAACTTTCCAAAAAGTGACAGTCACCTTCTTATATGCAGTGTTGTTGTAGCCGTGTTAGTCCCAGGATATGAGAGAGACAGGGTGGGTGAGGTAATAGCTTTTATTGGACCCATTTCTGTTGGAGAGAGGCAGACTTTTGATCTTACAGAGAAGAGCTGTGTGTAAGCTCAGAAGCTCGTCTCTCTCACCAACAAGAGTTGGTCCAATAAAAGATATTACCTCAGCCACCTTGTTTCTCTCAACCCCTTCTCGTCCAGCTTTCACTTCTCATTTCTGGTTGGATTAATACCAGACTTCGCCAAAACATTCTCCTCCGCCAAGGTCCCGACTCAATCAGTGCACAGGCTGGAAGATGCCCAGGGAGTGAATCAGGGATGCACAGTGAAAGAGGCTGTTGTCTGTAGGCCCCAGCCTCATTGGTTGCAGCAGCAGCATAGTCATCATTGGCGATCCCTCCATTCGGGGATGATCTCTACCACAGATTTACATATGGGTCCTGAGACAACTCAGGAGTCTTATCCTGGAACCATAGATCTGCCCGCAGTAGGTACAGAAGTTTCCTGATGGGTCAGCTGCCTGCTGGGAGAAAGTTCTTTTTCTTTCCTTCCTTCTCTCTCTCTTTTCAACTTCGAGGGCAAGACACTTCTCCTCGAAGCAGGCCACTGTCTGGTGGAGATTGAAGCATCATTGAGATCGGTTGGTTGCTTGCTCCTCCCAGCTTGTGATGTCCACATGAGTTTTCTTGAGATACACTTTCAGTGTGTCTTTGTAGGATTTCCTCTGACTTCCACAGGATCTCTGACCATGGCTGAGCTGAGAGTAGAGGGCTTGTTTTGGGAGGCAAGAGTCTGGCATCCGCACACAATGTCCAGCCCAGCGGAGTTGGTGAGTGCGGATCATTGCTTCAATGCTGGTGACATTAGCTTCAATGAGGATGCTGGTGTTAGTGCAGTGATCTTCCCACTTGATGCAAAGGATCTTCTGGAGGCATCGTTGGTGATACCTCTCCATACTCTTGAGGTGCTGTCGATAGGTCACCCAGGTTTCGCATCTATAAAGGAGTGTTGGAATAACAATTGTCTCATAGACCTGGATCTTGGTGTCCTGCCGTAGGTCACGGTCTGTGAAAACACTCCAGAGCAGTTTCCCAAAGGAAGCACTTGCGCAATGGATCCTGTGCTGGATCTCACTGTCAATTTTTGTATTTTGAGAAAGTTGGCTACTGAGGTAACAGAAGTCCTCAACTCTCTCCAAGGTCTGTCCCTTGATGGTGATTTCTGGTGGGTCATGTGCAAGGCCTGAAGCAGGCTGATGGAGCCCTTTAGTTTTTTTTATATTGAGTGAGAGTCATAGGCTTCAGTAAGCTTGTGCAAAAAAATCCAGTGAGAACTGAAGGTCATTCTCAGTGTGCGTGACGATGACACAGTCATCAGCATACTAAAAGTCAGTAATGGACACCCTAAGGACTTTAGACTTCGAGCGGAAAGGTCAAAGATTAATAAGCTGCCTGTCCATTCTGGGAAGTAATTGGTTTAAGAGGATATGGGTGAGAATTTGAAGAAAAATGAAGCTCCCGACAGCATAGCTCTGAGGATCATTGGAGCACACAAGCCCCTTCACCGCAACAAGGTGACAGTCCCTGAAGAGGGGTTGCAGCAGTGGGAAGGTGTGTAGCCAATACAATTATGCTGAAATTATGCTTCTGGCTGCTATGGGCCAGAGTGGCATCAGGCACTAGAACTGAGATGAGGGAGACTGTTTCCACCTATTGGGCCCAGGCAGTGTGGGGAGGAAGCTACCTGAACTGAACAAAGACTGGGGTGAGAGGGGAAAGTATATGAGGATAAGGATGCAGGGGGAATATTCTGAGCCTGGAGGCTGGTGGATGGAGAGTAACTGGGACTGGGAGAGAAAGTGGGAGATGGGGACTGGCTGGGCAAGGAGACTGGGACTGGGAGGAGGGGGAAAGAGACTAAGGGTATGTCTACACTGCTAAATGAGGTCGAATTTATAGAAGCTGGTTTTATAGAAATCGGTTGTATACAGCCGATTGTGTGTGTCCCCACATAAAATGCTCTAAGTGCTCTAGTCGGCGGACCGCGTCCATATTACCGAGACTAGTGTCGACTTCCGGAGCATTGCACTATGGGTAGCTATCCCACAGTTCCCGCAGTCTCCGCCGCCCATTGGAATTCTGGGTTGAGATCCCAATGTCCGAATGATGCAAAACAGTGTCACGGGGGGTTCTGGGTACATGTCGTCAGGCCCCTCCCCCTCCGTCAGAGCAACGGCAGACAATAGATTCGCGCCTTTTTACCTGGGTTACCTGTGCAGACAACATACCACGGCAAGCATGGAGCCCGCTCAGCTCAGCTCACCATCACCATATGTCATCTGGGTGCCGGCAGACGTGGGACTGCATTGCTACACAGCAGCAGCAGCTAACTGCCTTTTGGTGGTAGACGGTGCAGCATGAATGGTAGCCGTGGGGCTGGCAGCTGTAGGGCTGCATTGCACCAGCCCCTTGCCTTTTGGTAGAAGATGGTATATTACGATTGGTATCCATCGTCATCGTACTGCAGTGGCTGTCGATCATGGGCACCTGGGCAGACATGCTCAGTCCTACTGAACTGTCTTGACAATGATGGTTATCAGTCGTAGTATGCTATTTTCTGCCAAGCGCCCAGTATTTTCTGCTAAGCACCCAGAAGAGGGCGATCTGAGTGCTGGCAGACATGGGGCTGGCAGACATGGGGCTGTATTGCTACACAGCAGCAGCCCCTTGCCTTTTGGTAGAAGATGGTATATTACGACTGGTATCCATCGTCATCATACTGCAGTAGCTATCAGTCATGCTGCACTGTCGGCTGCCAGCTTAAGATGTAAAAAATAGATTTGTTCTGTATTCATTAGCTTCCCCCTCCCTCCGTGAAATCAACGGCCTGCTAAACCCAGGGTTTTGAGTTCAATCTTGGGGGGGGGGCATTCTGTGTGACAGTTGTTTGTGTTTCTCCCTGATGCACAGCCACCTTTGTTGATTTTAATTCCCTGTACCTGTACGCCATGTCGTCACTCGCCCCTCCCTCCCTCCCTCCTTCCCCTGGTCCGTCAGATACTAGTTTCGCGCCTTTTTTCAGACCAGGCGCCATAGCTAGCACTGGGATCATGGAGCCCGCTCAGATCACCGCGGCAATTATGAGCACTATGAACACCACGCGCATTGTCCTGGAGTATATGCAGAGCCAGGACTTGCCAAAGCAAAACCAGGACCAGCCGAGGAGGCGATTGCAGCGCGGCGACGAGAGTGATGAGGAAATTGACATGGACATAGACCTCTCACAAGGCACAGGCCCCAGCAATGTGGAAATCATGGTGTTACTGGGGCAGGTTCATGCCGTGGAACGCCGATTCTGGGCCCGGGAAACAAGCACAGACTGGTGGGACCGCATCGTGCTGCAGGTGTGGGACGATTCCCAGTGGCTGCGAAACTTTCGCATGCGTAAGGGCACTTTCATGGAACTTTGTGACTTGCTTTCCCCTGCCCTGAAGCGCCAGAATACCAGGATGAGAGCAGCCCTCACAGTGGAGAAGCGAGTGGCGATAGCCCTGTGGAAGCTTGCAATGCCAGACAGCTACCGGTCAGTCGGGAATCAATTTGGAGTGGGCAAATCTACTGTGGGGGCTGCTGTGATCCAAGTTGCCAGGGCAATGAAAGACCTGGTGATATCAAGGGTAGTGACTCTGGGAAACGTGCAGGCCATAGTGGATGGCTTTGCTGCAATGGGATTCCCAAACTGTGGTGGGGCGATAGACGGAACCCATATCCCTATCTTGGCACCGGCGCACCAAGCCACCGACTACATAAACCGCAAGGGGTACTTTTCAATGCTGCTGCAAGCCCTGGTGGATCACAAGGGACGTTTCACCAACATCAACGTGGGCTGGCCGGGAAGGGTACATGATGCTCGCGTCTTCAGGCAGTCTCTTCTGTTTCGAAAGCTGGAGGAAGGGACTTTCTTCCCGGACCAGAAAATAACCATTGGGGATGTTGAAATGCCTATCGTGATCCTTGGGGACCCAGCCTACCCCTTAATGCCATGGCTCATGAAGCCGTACACAGGCAGCCTGGACAGTAGTCAGGACCTGTTCAACTACAGGCTGAGCAAGTGCCGAATGGTGGTGGAATGTGCATTTGGCCGTTTAAAAGCGCGCTGGCGCAGCTTACTGACTCGCTCAGACCTTAGCGAAAAGAATCTCCCCATTGTTATTGCTGCTTGCTGTGCGCTCCACAATATATGTGAAAGTAAGGGGGAGACATTTATGGCGGGGTGGGAGGTTGAGGCAAATCGCCTGGCCGCTGATTACGCGCAGCCAGACACCAGGGCGGTTAGAGGAGCACAGCAGGGCGCGGTGCGCATCAGAGAAGCTTTGAAAACGAGTTTTGTGACTGGCCAGGCTACGGTGTGAAACTTCTGTTTGTTACTCCTTGATGAACCCTCCGCCCCCCCCACCCGGTTCACTCTACTTCCCTGTAAGCCAACCACCCCACCCTCCCCTCCCCTCCCCTCCCCCCCTTCGAGCACCACTTGCAGAGGCAATAAAGTCATTGTTACTTCACATTCATGCATTCTTTATTAATTCATCACACAACTAGGGGGATAATTGCCAAGGTAGCCCGGGATGGGTGGGGGAGGAGGGAAGGAAAAGGACACACTGCAGTTTAAAACTTTAACTCTTATTGAAGGCCAGCCTTCTGATGCTAGGGCAATCATCTTGGGTGGAGTGACTGGCTGGCCGGAGGCCCCCCCACCGTGTTCTTGGGCGTCTGGGTGAGGAGGCTATGGAACTTGGGGAGGAGGGCTGTTGGTTACACAGGGGCTGTAGCGGCGGTCTCTGCTCCTGCTGCCTTTCCTGCAGCTCAACCATACGCTGGAGCATATCAGTTTGATGCTCCAGCAGCCGGAGCATCGACTCTTGCCTTCTGTCTGCAAGCTGATGCCACCTATCATCTTCAGCCCGCAACTTGCTCTGTTCATCCCGCGATTCAGCCCGCCACCTCTCCTCTCATTCATATTGTGCTTTTCTGTAGTCTGACATTGACTGCCTCCACGCATTCTGCTGTGCTCTGTCAGCGTGGGAGGACATCTGGAGTTCCGTGAACATATCATCCCGCATCCTCCGTTTTCTCTTTCTAATCTTCACTAGCCTCTGTGAAGGAGAAACATTTGCAGCTGGTGGAGGAGAAGGGAGAGGTGGTTAAAAAAGACACATTTTAGAGAACAATGGGTACACTCTTTCACGTTAAATTTTGCTGTTCACATTACACAGCACATGTGCTTTCGTTACAAGGTCGCATTTTTCCTCTTATATTGAGGGCCTGCCGGTTTGGTGTGAGAGATCACTCACGCAGTGCCAGGCCACAGATTTCGGCTTGCAGGCAGCCATGGTAAGACTCAGTCTTTTGGCTTTTTTAACCTTCTTAACATGTGGGAATGGTTTCAAACAGTAGCGCTCTCATTTCCCATACCAAGCACCCGTTGGGTCGGCCATTTAAAATGGGTTTGCAATGTAAAAGGAGGGGCTGCGGTTTCCGGTTAACATGCAGCACATACCCAACTAACTCCCCTCCCCCCCCAAACCCAATTCTCTGGGATGATC